GCACTGTTCCACTAGGAGCCACCGATATTTTAAGTCCTGGTTATTCTGTGAGCTCTTAGAAGGCTCCCAGGTGTCAGGTGCATCTGCAGGGGGCCAGGTAGCCAGGGAGGGCTGGTGCCTTCTCAGTTTTCACGGCCTTTCGTGGAAGCTACTGGCCGCTGATATTTGTTGTTTTGGGATGCCGTAGAGGGGATTCCGACCCATGGCCACCCCACAGGACAGAGTGGAGCTGCCCCACAGGATTTCCAAGGCTGTCAGTCCTTATGGGAGCGGAGTGCCTCATCTTTCTCCCTTGCAGTGGCTGGTAGGTTTGAACTGCTGGCCTCTCGGTTTGCAGCTGAGCACTTAACCACTGCACCACCAGGGCTCCTTTGCTGAGATTAATTTTTTAATAAACTTTTCATTGTGATTTGGGTAAAGGTTTACAGAGCAAGTCCATTCTCCCATCAACAGCCCTCACACACTTTGTTCCATGTCATTGACTGCAGTCCCCTCAGTGTGACGTCACTCCTCCCACTTCCGCCCTGTGTTCCGTTTCCGTTCCTCCTCTTCTCCTGACCCTTGCTGCCTTCCGACCTCCGAGCTCCGTCCCTGCACAAACGCTGCCCTTCTGATCTAGAACGCCTGATTGTCCCAGAGAGCGTCTGCCTTCCTGGGGTACCGCTAACCATGTGCACCTGTCTGTTGTTTGCCGAGGTGTAGATATGGACACATGTTTCTCAGAACCCATGGGAATTGGGAGGGCGTGGCTCTGGAGGGAGGAGAAGATGGTGACTTTGGAGGTACGGGAGATCTACTGGGGGGCTGGTACGTGTCTAAGAGGAGCAGGGCTCATTAGAGAGAGGAAAAGGGGGCTGGGCCTCCCCTCACCCACACGTTCCCCACGTGGGTCCATCCAACGTTGAGGAAGCCTGGGTACAGCAGCCTGGAACCTGTGTGGTGGCCACACCAGGCCAACCCGGGATGCATTCTGGGTCAGTTCTGGGCCTGTGTGTCCAGCTGGCAGATTCCATGCCTCAGCTGGCTGGCTAAGCCAGAGCCAGCATTTCCAGGACGGCAGCTCTTGGCTGGCCTGTAGTCCACCCTCGTCCCATGGTGTCCACTGCCTCTCCCCAACTCTGTCCCAGCTCCTGCCTCCTCAGGGGCCATGGGTCAGGGCTGTCCAGCCCTCAGATCTGAAGACTGGCCCTGGCTGAAGGGAGCTGGCCACAAGGGGGCCTCTGGGTGGGGGTGAAGACCCCACAACAGGTCCACCTGAGAGAAATCAGGCTTGGTCCAAGCTCCAGCTGACCTGTGGCCCAGGTGGAGCCCAGACTCCTCATCTGCCCAGCCCCTGACACACTCACTAGCCCTTTGCAGGCACTCCAAGATGGCAGCCTAGCTGTGCACACAAATGCATGTCAAGGGCTTCCCCGTGCAACCCAGCTGCACAGGTGCCCAGGGAGAACCTTTGCACTCATGCATGATGTGTTCAAAGGAAGTTAGCAAGAAACACGAAGCACCAGCCAGCCCGAGGCGCTTACAGTCAAGGTGGAAAACCCACAAACCCTGGAGAACCAAACACAGGTGTGCCAGCAGACTCAGGCGGCAGAGGGCAGTGGGTGGGCGCCTGGTGGGGGTGATCGGGGGCTGGGGAGCCCCTTCCAGCCCCTGCCTCTTCCCATCTCCAAGGTGGGTTGGCCAGTAACAAGCGGCCTCAGTCACCTAGCATTCTCATAACACAAGTCCCACAGTTGTTGTTGTTAGGCAATGGTGAGTCAGTTCCAACCCATAGCAACCCCATGGACAGCAGAGCAGCACTCTGCTGGGTCCTGGGCCATCCCCACAGTCATTGCCACGTTTCAGCCGTTGTGGCAGCCCCCATGTCCGTCTGTCTCATTGAGGGTCTTCCTCCTTTTAGCTGACCCTCTAGTTTTCCAAGCACCTTGTCCTTCTCCAGGACTTGTCCCTCTGGATAACGTGTCCAAAGTTCGTGAGAAGGAATCTCACCGTCCTCACTTCTGAGCAGCCTTCTGGTTACACTTCTTCCAAGACAAACGTGTCCCTTCTTCTGGCAGTCCGTGGGACATTCAATAGACCTGAAGGGCGTGTTTCAATATCCTTATATTTGATATTCTTTGCCCACACCACCATTCAAAGACGTTCATTCTTCTTGGGTCTTCCTTATTCATTGTCCAGCTCACGTGTATACGAGGTGACTGAATATACCATAGCTTGGGCCAGGCACACCTTTGTCTTCAAAGTGACATCCTTGCTCTTCAACACTTTGAACAGGTCTGTTGCAGCAGAATTGCCCAGTGCAATACATGGTTTGACTTCTTGACTGCTGCGTCCATGGGTGTTGATTGTGAATCCAAGTCAAATGAAATCCTTGACAACTTCAATCTTTTCTCCATTTATCATAACGGTGCTTACTGGTCCAGTTGTGAGGGTTTCTGTTTTCTTTATGTTGAGGTGGAATCCATACTGACAGCTCATCAGTAAGTGCTTCAAAGTCTTCTTGACTTTCAGCAAGCAAAGTTGTGTCACCTGCATATTGCAGGTTGTTAATGAGTCTTCCTCCAAGACTGATGTGTTCTTCACAAAGTGCAGGTCTTGGATTACTTGCTCAGCATGCAGACTTCGGGCGTGTCACTGAATTGCCTGGGCCTCCAGTCCTGATCCCCAAACTAGGAAAGGCACTGCTGCTCTGAGGACCATGGTGGCAGCCCCCAGCCAGGCAGACACTCAGGATACTGTCCTAGGAGGCGTGTCCTCCCCGCCCCCCCCAGGGTGGCAGCCCCCAGCCAGGCAGACACTCAGGACACTGTCCTAGGAGGCGTGTCCCTCCCACCTCCCCAGGCCCTCACCTCACAGGAGTCCCACCACTTGTCTGCCCCAGCTGCTGCATGTCACCCAAGGGAGCTGGAAGGTGCCACCACCCGGCTCTCCTCTGTGCACTGAAGGCCAGTCCTGGCAGGAAGCACAGTGTCAATGCCCTTTGTGATGGGCTTGGGGCACAGGTGGGCACCACAGGGGGTGCCAGCAGAAGCTCGGCTTCTTCAGACACTTGTTCTCTCTCAGTTCTGGGGCCGGAAGTCCCACTTGGGGTGTGGGCGGGGCCGTGCTCCCTCCGGAGTCTGTGGGGGAGGATCTTTCCTTGTCCGTCTCAGCTGCAGGTGGCCCTAGGCATTCCTGGGCCTGTGGCCGCACCACTCCAATCTCTGACAGCCATTGTCACACGGCCGTCTCTCTGTCTCTAGTCTTCTTTTTACAAGAACACCAGTCAGTCATATTGGATAAGGGATCCCCTGCTGCAGTGTGACCTCTGGCTAACCTAACATCTTCAAAGACCCAATTTCCAAACAAGGTCACTTTCAGATGCAGGCTTGAGGACACCATCATGTCTCTGGAAAGACGAACGAGCCCTGTGGATCACACACTGGGAGCCATCCTGTCTCTCTTAAAAAAAAAAAAAAAAACCTCACTGCCCTCGAGTTGGATCAACTCATAGTGACCTCTCCTTGGGTTTCTGAGGCTGTATCCTTATTGAAGTAGATTGCTCAGTCTTCCTTCTAAAGAGTAGCTGGTGGGTTTGAACCGCCAGCTTTCTGGTTTGCAGTCCAACACAAATCACATGGGTACACTTGTATTTAGATTGTTCTTTCACTGGGTGGATTGGGGGTGGGCAGTGAGATTACTCCTCGGTGTCACCACTGTCCACCGACCACTTTCTTTAGGTCCCTGGGATGCCTGTGAATGCCAGACTCCTGAGCCCAGCCAGGCCTGTTGGACCCGAGTTGCCAAGCGGGTGCCGGGAAGCCCACCCCCAGGTAGCCCCCAGGAGGGCTGCTGTGTCAGTGTGAGCTCAGCTGACGGACGGACGCCTTTCCTCCTTGTTCCCCTGACACTGAGGTTGTGGTGTTAGTTGCCACCGAGTCAGCTCCGAGTCACGGTGACCCTGTGCAGGACACAACAGAACACTGTCCGGCCCTGCTTCATCCTGGCGAACGTCAGCGCGTTCTGGTCCATCACTGGGGGTGCTCTGCCTCCCCGTCTCGCTGAGGCTCTCTGTCGCCCTCACTGGCCCAACACTTCACGGAACACGGTGTCCTCCATGACTGAGCCCCCTGATGATGAGTCCAAAGTCAGCCAGTGTCTGCTCCACGGGGCTCTCGCTGGCTTTGTGGAAGGAGACGGTCGGGCCTGTCTTCCCAGTCTGTCTTTATCTGGAAGCTCTGCTGAAACCTGTCCACACGGGGAACTCTGCCAGTGTTGGAAATACCAGTGGGGTGGCTTCCAGTGTCGCAGAATGACACGCTGACAGACCGGAGGTGGCCCCTGACATTGGCCATGACAGAAAATGGAGCAAGGGGATTAAAGAGGCAGCCTAACCGATCAGCCTCACATCAAAGGTCCAGGGCCCTAGTCAGGCCCCTGGGACTGGGAGGGAGCAGGGTCGGGCCTATTAACTACCCCACAGCATGCAGGGCCTGCTGTGTGCCTCACCTGGGATGGCAAGCCCATTCAGATGCCATCCCTGCCATTAGGGGGCTCAGGGATCAGTATAGGGCTAGGTCTGGGAGCAGGAAAGTGCCACAAAGTGGGTAACTATGGGAGGGACCTGAGGGGAGGTCCTGACCCACCTAAGGATGCAGCTTTCTGGAGCCTCCAAGACCGAGAGGTGATGGGCCGTGTGTGGTCCAGGCCAAGGGGTGGCCACATTGAGCAGCGCTTAAGAACAGGCTGGTAGCAGTGGTGGCTTGGGGGCAGAATTCTCACCTTCCCTGTGGGTGTAAAAATGGCATGACCTCCTCGTCTAACTTCAGGAGGGTGGAGAGAACCAACACCACGTGTAACGTCAGGAGAGTACAGAGAGCCAAGGTCAACAGCCCCAGGCTGATTCCTATGAGGCGGAGGTCAGACCTGCCTCCACTCTCCAACCTTTGTGCCAGTTCTGACGGCAGCCTTCCCTCCCACGGCACCCTCTACTTCTCTGCTGGGCCCAGTAATTTGTCGCAATGGCCACATACTCACGGGTATGGGGTTTATTAGGGAAGTAACAGGCTACGATTGAGGATCAGGATACAGTTCTCCAGCCAGAACAGCTCCTCAGCTGTGCCCACAGGCAGCCCTCTCTCCTCTCTCTCTCTCTCTCTTTCTCTCTCTCTCTCTCTCTCACTCCCTCTCCCTCTCCCCCTTGGTCCCTCAGCCCCTACCCTGCTTTGGCAACTATGACAAGCTCTTTAGCTCTGCCAATAAGTCTACTCTGCCAGCAAGCCGTGGCCCGAAGGTGCTCAGTTGCCTTGCTCTGTGATCAGCACGCCCACGGCAGCTGCCCCACTCTGTAGGCTGGGGAGCCCGCTGCACCATCTCATGCCATCTCTTGGTTCTGCTGCTGCCACTTCTTGTCACCGTCTGCCATCTCTGATGTTACAGCTCCTGTCTCCTGAATCTAGGAGGTTCTCAGCACAGGGACCCTGGGTCCAAAAGATGTGCTCAACTTCTGGTTCTTCTTGATGGTAGTGAGGTCCCCTTCCAGCTCTGGGACGGTTCATGTTAAGTTCAGTGGGATGGCAAAACTGACCAATCCCCTTATTAGAATTCTATGCACCTTATTTGCATGACTCCATTCCTGCAATGGTTCCACACACCTTATTTGCATTGTTAGCAAGCTGTCTAATCCCCTTGGTGGGCTACAAGCACCTAATTTGCATAGTCCCACCCAATTATCACATTGTGAAATTATAGAACCATGCAGGGCTAAACCAAACAACCAAACTCACTGCTGTCAAATTGATTCCTACTTCCAATGACCCTATGGACAGAGTAGAACTGCCCCACTGGGTTTTCAAGGCTGTAAATTCTTTGTGAAAGCAGACTGCCACATGTTTTTCCCAGAGAGTGGCTAGTGGGTTCAAACTGCTGACCTTGCAGTGAACAGCCAAGTGCTTAGCCACTGAACCACCAGGCCTCCATATGACTGGCTTCAAAAATAAAACCATAGTCACTACCATCAAGTTGATTCTGACTCGTAGTGACCCCATTGGGTTTCTAAAGCTGTAAATATTTACAGAAGCAGACTGCTTCATATTTCTTCCCCAGAGCAGCTGGTGGGTTTGAACCACTGACCTTTTGGTTAGTAGACAAATGGCTTAGCCATTATACCACCAGAGCTGCTAACAAATGTCTAGAAGAGCCATATTAAATAATTCACAGCCCTGTACATGGGTTTATTGCCAGGCCCGATGTCTTAAAAACTTACAAGCAGCCTCCAAAGCACAGCAACTGGTCTCTATTCACCTGGAGCAACAGCAGAAGGAGTCAGGAGGAGGCTATGGGATGTGTGACTAACGGCCTCCATGAACAATGGCTTCCTTTGCCATGAGACCAGAAGAACCGGATGGTGCCTGGTTACTGGTAAAGATTATATAGCACAATCCTGGTCAAAAGGAGGAAAATGCAGAACAAAATTTCAAACTCTCGTGGACTCTGGACTTTCTAGAGCGCTGGAGGCGGATGAAGCCCTGAAAGTCCTGCCCTGAGAACCTAAGCTCTAAACCAAAATACCCCCCCCAGAGTCTTCTTCATACAAGATGGTAGCTTCGCTTCACTAGTGAAGAGGTGGGCCTTGAGTGTCATGTTCTTTTAAGATCCGTGTCTATGGGGTCAGCGTGACAACAGCAACTCCAAGGTTAGACGGGGACCTCAGGGGCAGTCAGTTTATGTGAATGGGAAGGGACAACTCAGAAAAGGAGGGGAGAGTGGCTGGACCTCTAGATCGGTGTCATCTATGCCACTGGGTTGTACGTGAAGAAGCTGGGGACTGAGGGACGTGCCACTCTGCATATTATCAACAACAAGAAATAAGGAAATTGTATTTAAAAAAAACAAAAACCCACCTTATGAATCACGGTGCCCTGATCTGAACAGACCCTGGGGGCAGTGCGGGGCCGGCAGGGTTTCGCTGCATCGTCCGCGGGGCGGACAAGTTGGCGCCAACTCCGTGGCACCTAGAAACAACAACATACCTACGGGCAGGGAATGCGCCTCTAACTTGAAGCTTCAGGACCGAGAAAGGAAGAGCCAGATGAGCGAGTCCACAACCCTGAGGCTGTGTACTCTCAGAAAGAGACGAGGGACACAAGTAGAGGACACGGAGGAAATTCTACTTGCAAAGGGCTGCCTCGCCGAAGAAACACCCTAGATGCGCAAAGGGCAGCGAACACAAGACACCACGGGGCCTGGCCCACCGTCTGTTCCTGGTGGAGAAGCAGTTGTTCTCGCCTACGATTATCACAGCCCCAGGATCTTCAGGCACCCACTGAGAGGTCAGGGAGGCAACTGTTCTCCCAGGAGCCAGTGACACACTGGGAAGGTCAAGGGCTCCTTTGTTTGGGAGAGTACGACCAGACAAGGTGACCCTGTACCTTTTGTTTCATCTCAGGTACAGAGTATTTGTTTCTCTCATGGTGGGACGTGATGGCCATACTTACCTCTGACAGGGACGTGACAGAAGTGAAGATGGTGATGAGAGTGGTGGCAGTGTGATGGTGCCAGTGGTGGTGGTGGTGGTGGTGGTGCTCTTGATGAAGGTAGTGATGATAGCAGAGGCTTGTGTGTTGCTAGGATGCTGATGGTGTATTGCTAGGATGGTGAACACGTTTCAGTGGACCTTCGAGGCTCAGACAAACTACGAAGAATGGCCTGATGAGCCCCTCCCACACATCAGCCAGTGGCAACTCTATGAGCGTCTGGGGTCTTAAAAACCTGCAAGCAGCTATCCAAGGCACAGTAATTGATCTCTGTTTGCCTGGAGCCAAAGATGAAGGAGAGTCAGGAACCAGAGAGAAAATGCAACGTGTGAGTGTGTGTCAACTTGGCTGGGCCTGGTTGAGTGGCTGGGCAGCTGGTGGTAGTTATTCCCCATGATGAGACTGGCAATCAACCCCATGGTGGGATCTACCACAAGCAGCTGAGTAGCTGCCTTTGGAATGTGGTCTGCTGCCTGTATATAAGGAGAAGCCTTGGGAATGGTCTCTAGCTTATGTATGCTTGAACCCTGCATGTAGCCATGTCACTGTTCAGCAGCCTGCCATGCTCTGCCAACCTTGGGACTTACAATGGACTTGAATTAATGGCCTGCCATGTGGTTTGGTAACATCAGGACTGTGCCATTTTATTTGTTGACCTTGGGCTTGTTACCCTTAGCAGCCAGTAGCTGCCTGAGTAAAGAAAAGCCTCCAGCTTCACTGGGCCAGGAGCGCAGAGCTGAAGCCCAGGGTCAAGGGGCTTTCACTCAGCCCCTAAAGCCTGGCACCTTGAACTTGGACTTAAAGCCTCCAAACTGTAAGAGAATAAACTCCTGTTTTTTCAGCCATCCCACTGTGGTATATTCCTGTCAGAGTGGCACTAGGGAACCAGTACATGTGGCTAGTTGCTTCCATGAACAACTGATCCCTTTGCCAAGAGACCAGAAGAACTGGCTGGTGCCCAGCTACCATCACGCAACACGGCAGCTGTGCATCGCGGTGGTATGATGCCGGTGGTGATGGTGGTGACGGTCATGGTGGCCCTGGGCCCTCCCAAGGTGCTCCTTGTTCTGTGTCCTCCATGTGTCTCCTCCCTCCCTGCTGCAGGTCCTCAGCCCCAGCCCAGAACAGGGATTTAGGACACAGCTTGAACCTGAGAAATGAGGTTTTGAGAACCAAAGCCCGAAGAGGAACCTGAATAGATATTCCTCCAAAGAGGAAACAGAAGAGGGCAGCAGCACTTGAAAAGGCTGCACATGTGAAAAGGCTGCACGTGTGAAAACGCTGATGTGGCAGATGTGTTATTACCTTACCTCTCCTCCCTCACCTCTCCTCGGGCCTGTGGCCTTCCACTGGAGGGACTCGGGGAGGGGGTCACCTTCCACTGGGACGGGCTCCTTCAAGGTGGACCGCAGGCCAGATGAGATCCACCCGGGTGGTCCACACCTTGCCCAGGCCTCTCCTTCCACCCACCTCCTGCCCCCTGTCTGTGCTGCATCTGCCCTCTGCAATGCAGGGCACAGGTGGGGCACGGGTGGGCATGGTGTGGACGCTTTCTCTGAGGGGAGACCCGAGCCCAGGCGCCTGTCTGGGGCCCGTGTGCTTCCAGCTACCCTGGCCGCTCCTGACTCCTGTCCACCGGTCCCGCCTTCGTGGAGGACAGACACATCCTGGAGGACAGATGCATGTGTGTGGGAGACAGAGAGAGAGAAAGACGGGACAGACACCGAGGGAGAGAGACAGAGAAAGACAGAGACAGAGACGGGGGGAGAAAGACAGGGACAGAGATAGATTGAGAGAGACTGAGATAGACTGGGAGATAGAGAGAGATAGAGAGGCTGAGAGACAGAGAGACTGAGAAGCAGAGCTGAGACACAGAGCATGCCAGAACCACGAGCGGCCGCCCAGAGTTGTGGGGGGCACTGCCAACTCAGCAGCAGGTTCCCCCCGAGAAACCAAGCAGGCGCTGCCCCTCCCAACCTGGATTCATGACTCAGCCCACAAAGACACCACCGCAAGGTGCCTCCCTGGGGACTGGGGATGAGGGCACCTCCCTGCTCCCCCCACCCCATCCCGTGGCCACACGCCATGGAGGGCCTGTCCTCCCCCATGCCAGCTCAGTGCAGCCAAGAAGGGTGGCCACGTGCTCTGGAAAGAAAGCTGGTTTGAAATAGCCCTGATTTAAAACATCCTGCAAACTGAGGAGTGAACGCTCGTATCTGCAGAGGGGGCCTAAACCCTGACTTGCTGCAAACTGCGGGCCGATGGGCCTCCCGGGATCCGAAGTCTAAGCAGGGGCTGTTCAGGGATGCCACGCAGTCCTTTCTCCCCACAGACGGGCGTCCGTCCTTGCAAGCCCCACACGGCGTCTCAAGTCCACGGCGTCACTGGAGACCCCAGGGCTCAGGATGAGGGTAGCGACTGCTCCCAGCCTCCAACTTACAGACGAGGACTCCGGGAGGCAGAGTTTAACGGGCCTGCCCACAGCCCTCCCGCTTCCTGACAAGCCCCCCCCAGGGTGCTGCAAAGTCCCTCACCGTCAGCACCGGCCCTGCGCCTCTCAGCGCCCCATCCCCGTGTCTGGACCCAGTGTGCAGACGAGGAGGCCGAGGCTTTGAAGGGACGGTCATCCCCCCAGGGACCCAGCTGCCTCTGGCAGGC